GCCCCCAGATAAGGACCCCAGGTGAAGCCCCCAGGTGAAGCCCCCAGGTGAAACCCCCAGGTGAAACCCCCAGGTGAAGCCTCCGGGCCTCACCTGTTGCCAGGTGAGTCAGGGAGGGCGGGGCTGTGTGCAGGTGAGAGATATGTGAGCTGGGAGGGGCCCAGACGCCTGCAGCACATTCCACCCGCCGCCGCGCCCTCCTCCTGTCAGCGTTATGCTCCGGTTCCCCTCACGGCCCGAAATCCTTCTGTTCTCTTCTGTTCTGACATTTCCTCCTACAGAACATCGTGTTTTATTCTTCCACGCTCACGTCAAAGAAGTCTGGTGTCGTCTACCCACCTGTTTGATAGATATTGATAGAAATTTGCACGTTAGAGCAGAAAAAAACAGAAAAAGCACGCTGGATTACAAGTGATAGATAGATAGATAGATAGATAGATAGATAGATAGATAGATAGATAGAAAGATACACTACAGTTCACACAGTATCTTACAAAATCACTAGAATACTAAATTAACACAACTACCAGATCAACATTACTAGGGGATAAAAATGACTGAAAAGCAGTAGAATACTTGATACTAAATACTACTGTAACCCTTTAAAGCCTGATCCAAGAAAACTAGGAAGAATATGGGATTTTTTTTTGTCTGAAGTCTTTCTTTGGCCCCTCAACAACATACGAAGAAAAAAACAGAAATCATTTTGATCAAATTAGCATGCAATAAGTCAAAAATGTATTTTGGTGTAGTCTTCTACTGGCTGTTATCAGGTATATCTGAATGTGTACAACAGGGGTTTGAGCAAAGCTTTTACCACTGAATGATGCAAAAAGTCTCAGATCCAAAAGACTTCAGAAACCGTACGAATCAAATATGACACATTTGGCATTATAGGGTTAAAACAGTTGCCAGATCAATGTGTGTGCATGTGTGTGTGTGTGTGTGTGTGTGTGTGTGAGTGTGTGTTTCTCCTATCAGATCAGGGCCTGGATGCTTGGATAGACGTTTACTCAGCAGACACTCCCTCAGACGCAGGACTGAACACACAGTCCTATCAAAGCAGGTGTGTTCCCGGAGATAAACAGGGCTCAGGGCAAAGGACGGCCCTTTTTCAGAAGCCCTGGTCCCGTTCACCAGCTCATGAGTCTGAATGAAAACACTGAGATGAGGGCAGAGAAAAGCATTAGATGAGGGCGGGCTGTTTTGGGCTAAACAGGCCTCACGTTCAGGGAGGAAAAAACAAGTCTTGGCAGAAATAAGCCGGGCTTTGCTGGGGATTTGAGCCCAGAAGAGGAACAGCGTCAGGAAAAGTGCGGTTTCAGCCCCAAAGCTTCACCATGGAGAGAAAATAACAACAGTTGACTCATTTTCAGACACTTCTGACACATAATGCACTTCATACAAAAAAAAAGCTCTGGGGCCTTTGATAAAGACGCCATTGTTTTTTGTTTTTGTCGAACCCGTTTCCAAACACTTTGGAGCACAAAACGTCAAATCAGAGGCGGGATAGTACAGTTTGCATATCCCAAACTGAAATGAATACAAAGACAAAGATATTCAAATATTAAACTAACTGAATGCCAGCTTAGTCTGAAACTGGTTCCAGCCACACATTAGAGAAAAGGGGCCAACATGAATAAAATAAAGGAAAAAATAAAGGTCAGAGACACTGGTGATCAGAATAAACGTGTATTAAAAAGATTGGCCAGAGTACAGAAAGTTAAAACAGTCTACAAATGATATTATATTACATTAAATTATATAACATGCTGTCAAACTGCAGTGAAAGTGGTAAATTTACCATCTACTGTACAGTCAGTGATATCTTACAAGTTAAACATCATACAGAAATAATCCAAAATCGGAAAAACAACACAGAAAATAGGTTTTTAAAACTGAAACCAGTTTTTGTAATAGTTTAATAGTTAATTCTGACTGTGTCCCACTTCTGATGAGCTTTTTGTTCCCATATAAATCTTTCATAAAGTTTAGGTAATGCTGGTAAGAAGTCACGTGTTCAAACGTCACAGAAGAAAATTCACACCTGGAATCCACATTTCTGGTTTTTAACCGCTATTTTCTCCCAAATAAAAGACAACACTGTGCAGAAGGGCTGTTAACTCATTTATTATGAGCATAAAGTCTACTCCACGAGAGGGAATGTAATTAAAAATGATCCAGGAAGCGATTTAAAACTCAAAAAACGCAGCTGCTGGATCTGATACCTGAAGGCGACAGATACAGGAAAACATCAATTAGCGATCCCGATACAAAGGCCACTTTTTGAAAAGATACTGTCGGGAGAAAAACTGCCAATCGTCCCCGGTCCCGTGGAGCCGTGGGCGGGGCTCCGCCCCGGGGAGGCCCGCCCCCCCCCCCCCGAGGACCGGTCCCTCCCGGAGCACCGCACCCCGCCCAGGGCACCGCGAAGCCCGGCCAAGGAAAGACGCGTCTCCCCGTGGAATTGGACCAGACCCACCGGGGGAGTTTGGGGGGGAAATTTTTGGCCCAAGTCTCAGGAATGTGACACCAGGAAGCCAAAGCGAAGCGAGAGTGGAGTTTTCTGTTTTTTGTGTGTGTTTTTCTTTTTTTTTTACCGTGGAGAGCCTGAGTCGCTGGGAAGAGAGGAACAAGTTGTGCTGCAAGGAGAGGAGGTACGAAATGGAAAATAAAGTTAGAATAAAAGGAAGGGAAAGGGACCGAGAGGCTGGGATTAAGGCTCCATTACAGTTTGTATAAGGTTTCCTGGTTTGTTGCGTCCTGATCTGTTTTTTATTATCTTGTCGTTGCGCTCATATTTCAAATCCTTATAAATATATGACTTAATTCTTATCAATTAAATGGGTCGTTTGAACTGAATTAAACTAATTCCGGGCTCGTTTGCTCGTCCAGAGGACCCAGTCCTCCAGGTAAAACCCGGACTGGTGTTTCTGAGGCTGTTTCCGGACCTGGACGCGTCCTGGAGCCTTTAGAGAGGCGTAAAGCCCTTTTTCCCGGCTCATTGTGTCATAAAGGGGCTCTTCTGTTAGACCAGGAGCCCCAAAACATCCTTTCCTCCAATTCCTGCTCTGCAGGCTGTGATTGTAACTTTCAATTAAATTTTCAATTCAATTCAATTTGATTTATTATATATAGCGCCACATCACAACAACAGTTGTCTCACAGTGCTTTTAAGTGTGTGATGGTAACTCAATAAGACACACTCACACCACTGTTCTCGGCCCCGGCTTTTATCCTCCATTCATTCTGAGTGACTCACTGGGTAGAAATAGTCAGTCCAACATGTGCTTGTAATTTGAGGGGAAAAGGTTGGAAGTGCCAGCTTTCTGTGGCGTGTCTCTGCTTCCTTATTGGATTTCATATGGCCGCTTCGCACGTTTATTTGCTGGTTTGAGCCCTGAGAGCTCAGAGTTTGAGGGACGATGCACCTCTGGTGAGAGAAGGGTAGAGGAGCAGAGGTGTTTGTCTGTCTTCTCCTCTGGACCTGTTTTTCTAGATGTAGAAACGGGCTTCTCTCACCTCCAGAGTGATGACAGACAGGGACTCTGAGCATGGGCCTGTTTCAGCCATTTGTTCTGACCCCAGCGGCCATGTTTTTCTGACCCCAGCAGCTCTTAGATGTCCTGTTTAAGCCATGTTTTTCTGAACCCAGCAGCCATCTTGTTCTGACCCCAGCAGCTCTGAACCGTCGTGTTTCAGCCATGTTGGTGTGACCCGAGTAGCCATCTTTTTCTGACCCCAGCAGCCATGTTGTTCTGATCTTAGGAGCTCTGAGCCATCATGTTTCAGCCATGTTATTCTGACCACAGCAGCCATGTTTTTCTGACCCTAGCAGCCATGTTGTTCTGACACCAGCAGCTCTGAGCTGCCCTGTTTAAGCCATGTTGTTTTGACCACAGCAGCCATCTTGTTCTAACCCCAGAACCAATCGTTTTCTGACCACAGTGGCCATGTTTTTCTGACCCCAGCAGCTCTTAGCTGTCCTGTTTAAGCCATGTTGTTCTGACCCTAGCAGCCATCTTTTTCTGACCCCAGCAGCTCTTAGATGTCCTGTTTAAGCCATGTTTTCTGACCCCAGGAACCATGTTGTTCTGACCACAGCAGCCATCTTTTTCTGACCCCAGCAGCCATCTTTTTCTGAACACAGCGGCCATGTTTTTCTGACCCCAGCAGCTCTTAGCTGTCCTGTTTAAGCCATGTTGGTCTGACCCCAGCGGCCATGTTTTTCTGACCACAGCGGCCATGTTTTTCTGACCCCAGCAGCTCTGAGCCATCCTATTTCAGCCATGTTGTTCTGACCCCAGCAGCCATGTTTTTCTGACCCCAGCAGCTCTGAGCTGTCTTGTTTAAGCCATGTTTTTCTGACCCAAAGAAGCCATCTTGTTCTGACCCCAGCAGCTCTGAGCGGCTCGTCTCTCCAGACCTGTTCTCAGGTATTCAGGTCTAGCTCAGACGGGAGCCGGTGTTTGTTTAAAAAGGCGTGTTCAGATGTGTGAGTGCAGACGGAGGCTGACAGTTCTGGATAATCGGCGTCTCCTCGGGCTTTTTTTTTAGTCGTGTCAGATGTTGGGGACTGATAAAATACTCCAAGTTGTCTTCGGCTTTCAAACGAAAGGGCTGAAAACGAGTCCCACTCCGGCTGTTTGCTCCGTTTGTGGATGTGCTGCCTTCACTGACCCGGTGCGGCTGAGCTTCACGGGTCCACGTCGCTGTGTTTACGGCGGCAGTCGCCACGGCAACAAACAAAGCAGCAGGGTTTGTTTGGACAGCCGACCTGTCGTCCAGGTGAGCTGGAGGGAGCCTGTCCTGTCTGTTAGGGGGAGGGTTTCTCCTGGGTCTCATCCTGTGAAGATGTGGGGGGGGGTTCTCCACTCATATTCACCTTTCTCTGTAACCCTTTAACTCTCTCTGCTCTTTTAGGGTGTCTTCAGTTATTAATTGATTCACAATACAAAGAAAAAAAGTTGCTTTTTTAAAACAAGCAGCTTTAAAAACCTTATTTTTTCGACTTGGCTCGTCTTTTAAGGTTTTAAATCAGCGGATGGTGGTAATGATGGTGTAGTGTCAGCTCTTAAACAGCATTTTTTGGGCTGCTGACGCGTTGCTTCAGGTTCTCACAGCTCGTCTTCGCTTTGCGAGCCCCGACGAGCTCAGACAGGCTCCCTTCCAGCCACTTTCGCTCCAGAAATGTTCATTTCTGTTGCGGCTTTTGGCACCCTTTCGCATGTCAAACCGCTAGTGATTGATTTCACACGTAGAAAAAAAATAGTAGATTGAAATATTTCGGGCGCTTTCATTTTGGAAACTGGGCAGTAACCAAGGAAAGTTGGGGGTGGCAAGCAGCACACCACAAAGGCCTAATTCCAATGGCCAGAAACCAGCCAGGAAACAGGATGTCGGCCATTTTGCTCGGCGATGAATCACCGTACAGTAGAAAGTTGGAAGTTTACCCCTTGAGCGTGACGTATCAGGCTGGGTCCTGAGTCACCGGGCTGAGGCTGTGGGGGTGAGGTTCCCTCCCACAGATCAGGGGACAGGACCTCTGCTATCAGCTTCACACGCCTCTGAAGTGGACCTTTACACACACAGAACACACAAGTCATCCACAGTGGGACACCAACTGGAACAAAACAGGGTTACACACACCCTTATGGCCTGTTGCCACCACATACTGCTGCCCTTTCACTCACTTTTACTCACTTTTTGTACATCTCACAGATTAGAAACCACATTAGAAATGTGGTTTGCTCAGCTTAGAGTTGGACTCTAGCCAGAAATCATCGTGACAGCATCTAGATATTTGTCTCTTTTCCTTCATCTGATGCCAAATAACTTCTCGCTGGGCTGGTGGCAGCGCCTAGTTTGTTTTTATTGTATTAAAGGAATCTATTCGGCTGCATTTCCAGCTACTCCTCACCCCTTCAATTATACAGAGGAACGCACGTTCACAACAAGGTGGAACTTAAAAATCGCACAACGTGCTCGTTATGCTGTTCAAAAGGAGCCCGGCTGTTGTGATGGACAGATTTTTCATAAATGGGAGCAGATGTGGGAATATCTGATGATTGTCTGATGCCTTTCCAGCTTCTATCTCTGTCCTTCACTCATCTCTCCACATGTCTGTCTTCCTGCCATTGGATTTTCTTTATCCTGCTATTTATCTTTGTTCTACCGATCATGTAAAGGTTTCTAACCAGCCACATTGAGCTTTAGTTGATTAAGTTGATAAGCACAATCCTGTAACTCCGTCAACCAGAAGTAAATCTGTCAGCATAAGTCTTAAGAAATTGTCTTTTTTACCTTTTAAGATCTGAGTTTATAATGAGCCACAGAGCTGAACTGAATAAAAATTCAAATATGATATCATTTTATTTATTTATACAGGAGGGAAATCATTTGGAAATGCATTTGCTCCTAAGTCTGATCTAATAAATGTGAGTTTGTTGATCAAAGCTTGGCTGAGATAAGACTTCCTGTTTGCTGACTTCACAGGTTAGTGTCAAAGGATGTTGATTCCTGGAGTTACAGATCTGTCACCCTCTGTTCATAGTTCAACACTTTGTATGTGAGCAAAATGAGATTTTAAACCAAGTGGAAGAGTGGCTGGTGTTTGTCTCACAGAAATCCTTATCTGTCTCTACTGCATTGACCAAAAATCTCCAGAAATCCCATTAAAAAACGACCTTTCCAACCAGTTCCCTGCACAGCTTTTAGTAACTCAGGGGTGGAGGAGTTAAATGCTCCGGCTTTCTCTCCACTGAACGAGCTTTGTGTACGTTTTTTATAGGTAATCCATTATTGTATGTGTCATAAGATGAGTCCTTTTCCTTTCAACAGCCACGAGGATATGTCGATGAATTGTTGGTGTTGTTTGCCGAATGGGGGGAGTGTTGTTTTTTCAGAGGGGCCTCGAACACAACCCAAATATGGCTGTCTAAAACAGGCTGTGCAGGCATTAACTTTGCGGCCTTGTCGTGTGTTTTTCTTTTTTTTCTGCACAGACTCCTTACAACCGCACCGCCTTGACCTTTGACCCCTTCCACGATGGCGCACCGGTCGCAGAGTTCGTCCATTGGAGATAATCCTCTGGACCCAAACTACCTGCCCCCCCACTACCGGGAGCAGTACCGGCTGGCTATCGATGCTCTGATCGAAAACGACATACAGGTGAGCAGTCGTGCTAAACGGGCTTCTTTTTTTTCTTTTCAAATTATTTTTATTGAAGCAAATGATAAAATAATCACAATAAAAAGAATACAGTTCACTTTTTTGGGGGGGATAAACATATACTTATGCAGGTGTAACTTCTAATATATACACACAAGTATAGATGTTGAAATAGTCACACCTACTACATATACAAAAAACAAAAAGAACAAAATAAGAACAATAAAAGGAGAGAACAATACACCCCATTCCCACCCTGTCTCAGCCCAACATGTTAGGCAGAAAAATAAAATAAATAATAATAATAATTATTAAAAAAACATCAGCAAAATACAGCAACAGGCACATATATTTAGTTAGGTAGGAGCTCCAAATCTGAAAAATGAGAAAGAAAAATTTTGGAAAAAATTGTCCTCTCATTGTATCTTAACTCATTGGCTGCCAAAGACGTCTATAAACGTCTTTTATGTTTTTCAACGCGAGTGGCTTGGGGGACGATCGGCAAAAGTTTTTCCGTAAATATCAGGCTTCTAGACAGAGTATGTAGTAACAAATTGACCCTCTAGGTAGCTGTGCCACTTTTGATGGGAGATTAGCATAGATTGTAGGCAAATAAAAAAAAAACGCAATGGTTCGCTATGAGAGAACATGACGCCAGTGAAACGCAAGTCCAGGAAGAACGGAATAAGGTAGAAACAAACATTTTTTTCCTGATGAAAGAAGAGAGTCTACTCTTTCTTTTGGTGTGTTCGGTGTTTACATAGTCATAGCACAAACTATTCTGTGGCTCTTGAAAAATCTGTCAAAATGCTCAAAAAACTCTGGCAGTATGGGACTCTGTTCTGAAAATGGCTGGCAGTCAATGAGTTAACAGGCTTCTAACAGAGAACAGAAACAAACCGCCCTTTTTCCGGTTGTCTGACCTGGTCTTGTGTCCGTTACCACCAGGGCTACTATGAGTTCCTCCAGATGGAAGAAGTGGTGGGTTTCCTGAGCTCCAAATCTGAAAAATGAAAAAGAAAACACTGCCATTTTTGGAAAAAAATGTCCTCTCATTGTATCTTATTTTTTTTATTATTATTTTTTTATTTATTTGTTTTTATTGAACTTTTTTGCAAAGCAGGGAAACATCAAATATTAAACACTCTACATACATATGAGAGGGATGTACACATATATAAGAATAATAATAAAAAAATAAATAAATAATAATAATAAAAATAAATAATGATAATAAAAAAAATAAAAAATAAAAATAATAATAAAAAATAATAAATAAAATAAAATAATAAAAAATAAATAACGGGTGCCAGGCTAAGTCAATTAAACCCAGTCTCAACTCTCATTGTATCTTAACAAGCTTCTAACAAACAAAGAACAGAAACAAACCGCCCTTTTCTCCGGTT